AAAATGATACTAAATTTGATATCGCAATAAAAAACAATATTTGGTCGTTACCAAAACAATTTTTCCAAAATGATACCGAAATTTTCTAGGAGCCCTGCTACTAACCTGGCAGTGGACTGGGATAATACAAAGAAAGAGTTTAAAAAACACTTTTGTAACCAATGTTGGAAAAACATTTGGAGACAAGAAATAAATACCTTAAAACAATTGTCGGAAGAATCAATAGATGTCTACTATGGTCGTTTTAGAAAAATAGTAGACAGAGTAGAACTTAATAATGTCTTGTTGGCTGACAATCAGCTCTACTACTTCAAAAAGGACCTAAGGTCAGACATGTTGCCCATAATATTGATGCATAAACCCACCACGGTAGATGCAACCTTAGAGTTAGCCAGGCATCACAAGCACGAGACAGACTTCACCTATAATGCAAACCCAAGTCAACCTTCCAAATCTAAAAGCTATGAAAAGCAAATTGAACAATTAATGAAGCAGATGGAGCAAATGAGCCTCAATTATGCTACTATCGCTTCGGCCTTACTAGCACAAGTTGAAAAAAAGGATACAACAAAGTCAACTTCATCTTCACAAAAGAAAAATGTGACTTGTTTTAGGTGCAGCAAAGTTGGATATTTCGCAAACAAGCATATGTCCAAGAAACCGAAAGTGACATACTATCAGATCTTTAAAAAACCTAATAATGATAGTAATAGCAAAAACATTAATCTGATAGAACTGGCTGAGGAAGATGATGTAGAAGAGCTTTATATACATTGGTCCCAACCTTATAGCACCAATAGGAAAGAACAAAAAGAGAAACAAAAACAAGCAAAAGCTCAAAAAGAACAGAGCTTGTCAATTAAAGCATCTATGGACCCGGTTCAAGATATAAAAGATCCAATGAAGTTTGAGAATATTCCAGTTAAGAGAGCCATGAAGAAAAGATTACCTTCAGAGATTGACAAACTCAAGCCTTATAATATCACCGAAGACTTGTTGTTTATGCTTGCCAGGTTAACATTAGGACAACTATTGCAATATTCTAACCAAAGACAAAACTTGGCAAGGATAATTAGACGTAAAAAGGCGCCCAGTACTAAAGCTAACTTAATCAGAGCAGATGAAAAGCAAAAGACCATGGCTATATGTTGTCATGTTCATATTAAGAAAAACCCTGTTGTAGCTATTTTAGATTCTGGTGCTGCTATCAATATTATCACCAGAAAGTTAATAGAAGAGTTAGAGTTAGAAATAGACAAATCCTCTAAAACTGTTGTTATAACAGCTAATGGAAACTGAACAAAGGCCTTAGGGATTATTAGTGAAGTTAAAATAGTTCTACAGGACTTATTGATACCTATAAATTTATAGATAATTGACTCCCAAGAGAAAACTTTGCTTCTAGAGACAGATTGGTTTGATAAGTCTCGTGCTAAGCAAGACTTTAATAGCAACACCTCTCATGTGAAATACCTGGGTAAGCTGGTAACAGTGAATGTGACCCATATTAGAAGCAACAGCTACTAGCAAGAACTAGAAGAGTTCACAGACGAAGAAGACTGGCTAGATGAACTGGAGCAAGATGAAGAGGTTCAGCAAGCCTTTTACAGCGACATATCTTCTAAAGAGGAAGAAAACTTATACTACAACCCTTGGATGGAGGATAACCCAGCCATCTATCTCACTGAAACAATACAGGAGGAACAAAAAAAGGATACAAGAGCATTTGAGGTGAACCCAAACCTCAACAACAGACAATTGCAAGCAGAAGACTTGTTAATAAAGAATGCAAAAGTTTTTGCAGAAAAAATAAGTAAGAATAGACAAACAGTTGGTCTAGGACAGACCAATCTAGTGTGCCACGAGATAGAAACAGGTGTAGCAAAGTCAATAAAGCAACACTATATACTGTAGCCTGTGATGAACAAGAATTTCTAAAGGATGAAATTCTAGCTATGGAAAAGCAAGGCATTATTTTTCCAATCAAAAGCCTCTGGACATTCCTGATAGTCCTAGTGTCAAAGAAAAATGGCAAGAAAAGAATATGTATAGACTATCGAAAATTGAACATAGTAACAGAAAAATATATATATCTTTTATCTAAAGTAAACGAAATCCTATCAGAATTCGAAGGTGCCAAGTGGTTTATCAGCTTGAACTTGGCCAGTGGATACTGGCAGGTGGCTGTTAGAGAACAAGACAAAAAGAAGACAGCTTTTATAACCAAATTTGGCACTTATGCATTTAACGTAATGCCATTTGGCTTATGTAACACACCCTCTACATTCCAAAAGTTAATGAATGATATTCTCGACCCTTTTATCAACAAATTCATTGTCATTTACCTAGACAATATTGTTATATACTCAAAAATGTTTCAAGAACATGTAGAACATCTACAGCAAGTCTTCGTGAAAATCAGAGAGGCTAACCTAAAATGCAACCTGGAAAAATGTTCATTTTTTCTAAACAAAATTAAATTTTTAGATCACATAGTTAGTGACTAAGGGATCTATCTAGACAAGAAAAAACTGGATAAAATAAAAAACTTTCCTATTCCATATTCCAACATTGCTTAAACAAATATAATCGTTTTTAGAACTAGCATCATATTACAGGAGGTTTATCAAGGGTTACTCAAAGATAGCCAAACCTCTTAATAAATTGCTAAACAAGGATAAGCCTTATCACTAGACAGAAGACCAAGATAAAGCTTTCCAAACCTTAAAGAATTATCTAATAACAGCCCCAATTCTAAGGTATCCCAACTATAGTAAGCTATTTTACCTACATATGGACATATCCACCTTGGGACTAAGAGCTGTTCTGGCCCAATTTGATGAAAATAACAAAGAGTATGCTGTTGCTTATACCAGTAAGAGCGTAAACAAAACTGAAAAAAACTATTCCATTCCAGAATTGGAATGTTTGGCTGTCATATGGGCAGTTGAACATTTTCATCTGTACCTTGGAGCCAAACCCTTTTATCTTATAATAGACCACTCGGCTCTGCAGTAGTTAAGAACTTCTGAACTTAAAGGAAAATATGCCAAGTAAATTATGCGACTAGAACCGTATAATTTTAAAATTATATATCACCCTGGTTGAAAGCATAGCAACACCGATGCCCTATCAAGGATATATACTCAAGAAAAAGAAAATCAGCAAAAAGTATATATGATAGAAACAGAAGACAATAATTCAGTGGAAAGTGAAATAACAGTGAAATTTGTGGAAAATCGTTTTATACCCACCAATGATGAAAGTAAAGTTTCTTTACAAGAATCGAATTCACCAGGATCAATTGCTCAGACTAATAAAAGTACAGTCAAAGAAAATCGCCGGGAGATAGTAAAGAAAATTCTAAGTTATAACCTGTCTAAAGATTTAACAAAGTATCTTCGCTCTTATGAAAAGGTAGAGTTTACTTCACAGGGAATCTACTATGATCAACAGCATTGTACCTGGTATTATATCGAACACATTAGTGATCAATTAAACCAGAAAACTAAAGAAAAACACCTAACAAGAGACTGAAAAAGACCAACAGCCCAATGTTGGTGTGGGGACAGGTTATATTTACTATCTGATAAGTGTAGTAAGTGCCATAGTGATCTAAAACTGTAGATTACTTTGAAGTAGTACCCGGTTGATGAAGTTGCAAAATGCTATTGGAAAACTCCAACCGACAATGAACTGATCGACTACTATTATGAAAATGATTATATGTGGAGCGATGATGAAACCAACAATAGTTTTACTGAAAGTAGCATTAATCTTATAGACGATTCTCCTATAGAACAATGAAAAAGTGAAAGTGTTAGTGAAAACCTACTCCTAGACTTTACTGATGAAGAAAGAAAAGGAAACACAAACAGAAGATTTAAATAATTTTCTTTGGTAGTTAGAATTATTAGAAAAACCATCTGAACATTATTATAGGAAATTCAATAATTTTTCTAATACTTATCTTTGTAACTCTATTTGATGAAAGACCACCAACCCAATTAAATACTTTTAAGTTATTCAAACCTTAATTTACCTATCCTCAAAAGATGAAAAACTTTGCAGGTCGGTCCCTGCTACCGTCATCACAACTTCCAGAACATTACAACCAGAAGTAAAATTTACAAGCTAAATAAACAATATCCTTAGTAACTTTCAATAATTAATTTAAAAAAAAAAAAAAAAAAATAGAACCAATTAAATACCAAAATCTGAAACAATACTTGGAGACAGTACAATACCTGCTCAGATTTAACAAACAAAAAAAGAAACAATTGAAAAAACAAAGTAAATTCTATCTCTTAAATAATTATCTACTCTACAAAAGAGATAGAAGAAAACAGACAAGGAATTAATTGTTGCGAGTAATTCAGCAACATGAAGTAAAAACAATTTTATACATCACCTACACACATCTGCTAGGAGTCCACCTCAGAACAGAAAAGACCCTAGAGAAGATAAAGTGTCAATATTATTAGCCTCAGATGTACGACCATGTGAAAGAATACATCAAGACCTGTGATGTATGCCAAAAGTGAGGAAAGTACAGAACTTGCGGCCCCTTGCAACCCATATCTGTCGAAGCACCATTTCACAAAATTGGCATTAATTTTGTAGAACCACTAGACCTAACCACAAAGGGAAATAAATACATTATTGTGGCAGTTGATTATATGACCAGTACCTGCCGCTGACCACACGATTCATCTTTGATGAAATCATTTGTCAACATGGATGTCTATCCTACCTAATATCAGATAGAGGCCTACATTTCAATAACGAAGTGATTCACTTCTTAGTAAGGAATTTTGAAATAAAGTACTTATTATCAATGCTATACCACCCACAAACCAATAGGTTGGTTGAAAGGTACAACTGTACCTTATGCGAGTCTTTGGCGAAATTGATCAAACAAGAGCAAGAGTGAGATACCTTTATACCTTCAGTGCTCTATGCCTATAGGACTAGTAAGCAGTCCACAACGAAATTCACACCTTTTTATCTAACATACGGGAGAGAAACCCGATTTCTGGACTTTCTGGAAGAAAATGATATCCAAGAAAATATGGTCGACCGATTAACTACAATCATTGACGACCTACCTATTAAAAGAGAAGTTGTGAAAAATAATGTTAGAAAAACCCAAAATAGGCAAAAATTCTATTGGGACAGAAAACTGAAACAAGTACTAAGAATCTTCCAAAATGGAGATAAGGTACTTTTATTTGACGCCGCTCAAATAGAGCATCATACTGGAAAATTCTTACCTAGGTGGCTTGGACCTTTCATCATACATAATTGTGTTGTACAAGATATATACCAATTATATGCGTTAAAGGGTTAGATTCTTGATGTACCACAAAATGCTCTACTCTTAAAACGATATTATGAAAGAACTATTTAATGTGGATGCATCAAATTAGCAAATTTAAAAAGCATTGCAGAAAATTACTGCAATTGCTCTTTTGAAAGTATTTGCTATGGGTCACTGGCCTTATATACCAGAATTTGGAGTGGTATCATCGGCTAATGCTGGTGATGCCAATGGTGTATTTATAGATGGTGGTTGTTAATTACACCCAAAAATTATTATAGTATGTTGACGCGCGGAGCTCGTCATTAGTTGTGGAGAAATTGTCATATTTAAAGTTCATTTTCTATAGGTTCTCGAATGCCGCAGTCATGCATGCCTATAAACGTGCATAATTAGCAAGATAATGTGGATGTAAAGGCGCAGAATACATCGTGTCTTGTAAATAACAGCAAAACTAATCAAGAGGTTCGCTTGGGAAGCAAAGTGAAGTAAAGATATATTAGTTTGAAATTAGAAAAGAACTAGCGAAAAGAATGGAGTAGAAATAGATACTTCTCGCAAACATGTATAAAAGGCTCTTACTTTTGCCTTACTTTTTAGATAAAACTTTCTTAGCTTAGAATTCTTACTCATAGAAATAGATATTTTCTTACCTCTTTTATATTTGTTAGTTATTTTATCGGTTAGATAAAATAACCATATTTATATACACGTTAAATTTCCTTATTTTCTCAATAAAGTCTTTTTGAATGTTATCACGTAACCACGTGACCGAAACGTCCATTGTTAACATTATAGTTAGTAAAACATACAATACAACCTAATATATCCTCATATATATTAGTAGTTGTGTCTCTTTTGATCAAGCCTTACTAATGCTCTTTGCTAAGTCATAGAATTGACTTAACCTTTACCATTTACCTTTCACATCACCTTTAATATAGCCATATTTACTATATCATCCCCGTTCCTTAAAAGTCTTAGAGGATCGACTTTTGGTGTGATACTGGAAATCTGTGACTTTTTAAGTTTTAATTGAAGATATCTCAACACCCACTTGGCCAAATCCAATGAACTTTTTTTTAGTTTACTTGTGAATATTAGTAGAATTTGAATAAAAAAAAATCATCAAATCTGATTAGATAAGTATCAAGATATCTTCATTCAAAGTTTAAAATGCACTTCTATTTAAATTTTTACAAAATTTATCTCGACACCCACTTGGCCAAATTCAATGAACTTTTTTTTTTTTTTTTTTTACTTGTGGGCATTAGTAGAATTCAAATAAAAAAAATTTTATCGAATATGATTAGGTAGGTATCGAGATATCTTCACTCAAAGTTTGAAATGCACATCTACTCAAAATTTGTAATCGAAGATATCTCAACACCTACCTGGCCAAATTCAACAAACTTTTTTTTGTTTTAATTATAGAGATAATCAGAATTTGAATAAAAAAATGTTCATCAAATTGGGTGAGGTAGGTGTCGAGATAACTTCGATCAAAGTTTGAAAATAAATTTTAATGCACTTTCATTAATAGATATTGGGGAATTTTTACAAATACTTGGTTAACCAAAACGAGATATCGTATAACATACTATAGAACCGAGAATTAACAAGAAATCTTTGGAATTGTGATTTTTTAAGTGGGAATTTTTTAAAAAACAAAGAATTTAAGAGAATTTTACAGATTTCTATATAATAGATGATTGACGGCTAATCACAGTAATTTGAAAAGCACTGTAAATATTATATTTAAAAATTCTAAAAAATTCATTAACATGTCATATTATTTTAGTTTTTGACATTTATAAATTGTTTGTAATTATTTATTTAATCAATTAGCATTTAAAAAGTCTCTGCTGTTCTGTTGATTTACATTATTTAAGAATACATGGGCTGCCGTCAATAGAAATAAGGCAAATTGACATTTTAAAAAAAATTAATACCTTAACTTTCATAGCTCCTATCTCGATGAATTTTGAAGCTATTTTAATAATTTAATATTCAAAAGAAAGCTTACGATCTAAGCTTTCTTTTTAATATTAAATTATCCGGATAGCCTCAAAATTCATCGAAATATGAGCTGTGGAAGTTAAGGTATTAATTTTTTTAAAATGTCAATTTGCCTTATTTCTATTGACGGCAGCCCACATGTTTTCAATTAAGCAGCATTATTTTAATTATTGTAAAAAGAATTGTTATAAAATTCTGTTTCAATCAATTAAACTAATTTAAATTATCCAATTGTAAACATAATTAGTAAAAGAAATAAATGTATATAAATAAAAAAGCAGTCGACAATTATTCAGCCCTAAACTCAAAATAACTAAGAGTTTGATTCAATTTGAAACTATTTTATTTTTAAAAATTGATCTTATATATTTAATTTAAGAAATATTATATTCATAATACTCATGTTATATAACACCTATATAGTTTTAATTAGAGATAGGATAGGGTTAGAGTTAGAAATTAGAGACTTATTTTTTTTTTATAATATAATATAGAGCTACTATAAGGGTCTGATTTTAGTTTTTATGAGGTTTTTGGGGGTACTGAACATTTTTACTTAGAGGACCCGATCCCGTTTACTTAGTACATTTTTGAGATATAGCATAAGGTGTTATATAACACAGTATTATATATAATTTTTCTTAATTTAATTAACATTGTCTAATACTTTTAACAAATTACAAGAATTAGTTAACAATCTTTAATCTTTATTTGTAAACTATAGATTTTATAACTTATTCTTTGCAATAAGTCCACTTTTGATTAAATATTTTATTTCAATTTTGCCAAAATTTAATTATAATTTTACAAAATTATAAACCTTTTTTTATTATTTTAATTAATGAGCAAATTAAATTATAAATTTCATACAAATGGAACAAATAATAAAATCTCATGCATTGGTACTTTTTCTTCACCAACTTCTAATAAGAATTTAGCAAATTATTTTCAAAATTTTTTTAATAAAAAGCGACACATCTGAGTGAGCATCTTACAATAGGTAAAATTTGTCTAAAATCACTACCAAGAACTATAACTTTTCCTCAAAAGAGTTTATCAAAATTATATAATAACTTGAAGTTCTTTCAACTGTATCAAATGCCAAACTCTTCATCATCAGCGCTTCATCTCATTTACTAAAAACCTAGTACTATATACTCCACTTCTCCTAAATCAAAAACTCCTTTGCGAGGGTCGGGTCTGCTAAACCTTTAGTTTACTGTGGGAGGTTTGGATGAATTGGAGCCTAAAGCCAGTTGTATAGTCTTTTGTAGAGTAACTTGCCATATGCTCAGTTCTCATAAAAATTCTTTTGTATTGTATATCTTGGTTAGATAGTAACTTTTTTTTTTTTTTTTTAACATTTCAGCAGTCTTGCCTTCACTTTATTAGGCTTTGTAATAATTATCTAAACTATTAAATTTTCTGCAGAGTTTTACTTTGTAGTACCTAAATTACAAGTAGAGAC